AAGGAATAAGCTCTTTTCTTGAAGGTTTCAATATCGTATCGGTTCGGAAATACCATTGCTGGAAAGTGGAATCACCAATGTGGTTGATCGTGCAAAAGTTGCTGGAAGACCGCCATTCATCCAGATGATCAGGATGGTATTTTAGTTTCTGGCGGGTGGTACGGTGGTGAAACTCAGCAGCTGGTATGAATCCGAACAATTCCTCAGAACACTCCCCGTGATGTATGCGGTAGAAAATGCACAGAGATGCAATATCTCGCCGCAAAGCCAATGGGTCGAATCTGTCGCACTGTGGAGGACCGCCATTCATCCAGATGATCAGGATGGTATTTTAGTTTCTAGCGGGTGGTACGGTGGTGAAACTCAGCAGCTGGTATTAATCCGAACAATTCCTCAGAACACTCCCCGTGATGTATGCGGTAGAAAATGCACAGAGATGCAATATCTCGCCGCAAAGCCAATGGGTCGAATCTGTCGCACTGTGGAGACCGCCATTCATCCAGATGATCAGGATGGTTTTTTAGTTTCTGGCGGGTGGTACGGTGGTGAAACTCAGCAGCTGGTATTAATCCGAACAATTCCTCAGAACACTCCCCGTGATGTATGCGGTAGAAAATGCACAGAGATGCAATATCTCGCCGCAAAGCCAATGGGTCGAGTCTGTCTCTCTGTGGAGGACCGCCATTCACCCAGATGATGCCAGACGCCATTCGTATCATTATAAATAATAATATACAGTACAGACTGTTCAACTTCGATGGGTAGTAACAAACTCATATATCGGTCACTACTCACGTGTTTTTGCATACAATAAATACAATTATGTAACAACATGACCTTGGCATCAACCTACATACAGAATCTCGTTCTCAGATTATGTATTTAAATATTCATTTATCAACGAACTGGATGCAGAGTTGATTATTGATGTGTGAAAGTACGCGAGGCCATTGGATGCGGTATCTATTTACTCAAGTAAACAATATTTGAAATTAAATTAAATATGATTTGATAGGCACATTGCTTCTTGTTATATAGTAGTCTATAATAGACCTACATGAATAAAGATATTTTGATTTTTTTAAATATTTCTTTAACTAATGGCTCTTTGTACAATGAGACACTAAAAATAAAGAAATATGAGATTTTTTTTATAGCATAAGAGCTGACGGCTCACCTGATGATAAGTGATTGCCGCCAGTTAAGTTTTTTTTATAGCATAAGGAACAAACGAGCTTATGGCTCACCTGATGGTAAGTGATTGCCGCCAATTAAGTTTTTTTTATAGCATAAGGAACAAACGAGCTTACGGCTCACCTGATGGTAAGTGATTGCCGCCAATTGAGTTTTTTTTATAGCATAAGGAACAAACGAGCTTACGGCTCACCTGATGGTAAGTGATTGCCGCCAATTTAGTTTTTTTTATAGCATAAGGAACAAACGAGCTTACGGCTCACCTGATGGTAAGTGATTGCCGCCAATTTAGTTTTTTTTATAGCATAAGGAACAAACGAGCTTACGGCTCACCTGATGGTAAGTGATTGCCGCCAATTTAGTTTTTTTTATAGCATAAGGAACAAACGAGCTTACGGCTCACCTGATGGTAAGTGATTGCCGCCAATTTAGTTTTTTTTATAGCATAAGGAACAAACGAGCTTACGGCTCACCTGATGGTAAGTGATTGCCGCCAATTTAGTTTTTTTTATAGCATAAGGAACAAACGAGCTTACGGCTCACCTGATGGTAAGTGATTGCCGCCAATTTAGTTTTTTTTATAGCATAAGGAACAAACGAGCTTACGGCTCACCTGATGGTAAGTGATTGCCGCCAATTTAGTTTTTTTTATAGCATAAGGAACAAACGAGCTTACGGCTCACCTGATGGTAAATGATTGCCGCCAATTAAGTTTTTTTTATAGCATAAGGAACCAACGAGCTTACAGCTCACCTGATGGATAGTAATTACTGTCAATCACTTTCCATCAGGTGAGCCATAAGCTCGTAAAACACAACTAAAATGTTTGTTTGTAACACAACGTACAAACCGCGGCCTATGAGCAGCACACCAGGGGAATTGCAAGTTATAAGCATTATAAGAAGGAATAACCTCTTGTCTTGAAGGTTTCAATATCGTATCGGTTCGGAAATACCATTGCTGTATGATGATTCCACAATGTGGTTGTGCGTGGGAAAAGTTTCTGGATAAACGCACGGTGGAGGACCGCCATTCATCCAGATGATCTGGATGGTATTTTAGTTTCTAGCGGATAGAATGATGGTGAAATTCAGCAGCTGGTATTAATACAAAAAAAATTACTTAAATTACTATATTGGGACTTTGTCAAGCTTATACAACCCAAAACAATGATTTTAAATATTTCTTTTATGTGTGATTGTAAGCTCTAATCTCAGAAATGGCTTTACCGATTTGTATGTGCTTTTTACTAATATGTTATGGTAACCTTCAGTTAAAATCTAGGTTTAGTTTTATTCCAATCAGATAACAAATAAAAAAGTTATAAATAATTGTATTTCAGAATGCATACGACTCAGCTAGATTTATGTATTACTATGTTTTTACATAAAGTCTATCGCTGAGAAGCTTGATATATAATCAGTATTTTTTTATATATTTGGAATGGCAGATAAGCTGGTGATAAAAGATAACCTACGCCTATGAACAGTAATGACCACAAAACACATTGTGATACCCCACATAATACTGATACATTTTTGGAATACAAAATAATGATTCAAAAAATAACATGAGGAAATGGTATTTTTTTAATAAACAATACACTTTTTTTTTTATTGTATCAATGTCAGAAATATCTCCTGCACTAATAGCACTAATAGAAACTGTGTATTGCATGGTAATGGTAAATTTCTACTCCCGATACCCATGTAATTCTAATACATCGCCATTCTTATGGATTTCTATTCAAAATCGTGAGTTATTACTCTACTATTATTACTCATCATCTATACATATAAATAAAATTGGAGTGTCTGTTTGTAATATTGAAACCATTTTACAACATGCATAGGGTATATACACCAAAATAACATTTTTTACAATTTTTGTCTGTCTATCTGTCGGTCTGTTTGTTCCGGCTAATCTCTAAAATGACGGACCGATTTTGACGGGACTTTTTTTGGAAGGTAGCTGATGTAATAAGGAGTAACTTAGGCTACTTTTATTAAAAAAAATAAGTTAAATTCCACGCAGAAGAAGTCGCGAGAACAGCTAGTTTTATATAAAGTATGCCCTTGATAAATTGTTCTTAAGATATTCCTCGAGAATCGAACATAATAATCTTTATTCAATTTAATTTAATTAATTTATAATTAAATTTCAATATTGTAGTGTTTTGTCTTGTCGAATTAAGAATAGGTCAAATGCAAAGAACAAAAGAAATAAGCAGCTAAAATACCTTAACTACGCGTATTTTTACTTGGTATAAAACAAAGTCACCGCAGCTGTCTTTTCGCTTATATCTTTTAAATTACGCAACTGATTTTAATTCATATTTCAAAAAAAAGTATAATAATAATAATAATCTCCAGACAATTCACAAAGCGCCATCTAGACCCAAGTTAAGCTAGCTAAAGCTTGTGTTATGGGTACTAGATAACTGATACAAATACATAGATATTTTTTTTCCGTAAATATATACATATATACATATTATATATAGAAAATACCCAGACCGATACAAACAATCATACTTATGAATACAAATGTTTGTGCCGTGCGAGGAATCGAACCCGCGACCATCGGTCGTAAAGCGGTGTGCTAGACCGCTAGACCACCGAGGCGTCAATAATAGTAGAATAGAATAGAATAGAAAAACATTTATTGACAACCATTATTGATATAAACATACATTTGACGTTATATATATATTGACAACCTCGGTGGTCTAGCGGTCTAGCACACGGCTTTACGACCGATGGTCGCGGGTTCGATTCCTCGCACGGTGCAAACATTTGTACTCATGAGTATGATTGTTTGTATCGGTCTGGGTGTTTTCTATGTATAATATATATGTATTTACGGTAAAAAAGATTATCTATGTATTTGTATCAGTTATCTAGTACCCATAACACAAGCTTTAGCTAGCTTAACGTGGATCTAGATGGCGCTGTGTGAATTGTCCTGAGATTATTATTATTATTATTTACAGATTTGACATAGGTACATTTTACATATATATATGTATGTATGCACACATACACCACATACATATATACATACAAATACATACATACGTAGAACAATTACAAAAAACATCTATAATATTTAAATAATATTTATTATATATGTATAATATATGCGTCTAATAGAACAAACCGAGAAATTTAAAGATTTGTAATGCATCGGATGCTGCTAGTGGGTACTGATCTGTTCGAATTATAGCCACTGATTTGATTATTTCTTTTGATATAAATGGATAGCATATTCTGGTAGTTACTAATTCTCCCTAATTGAATTAAGAAATGAATCTATATTTCTTGAATCATGTACAAGCTCATTTGAAAAGAATAACAGCTGATTTTCTTGTCAGTTCTTCTTAGTTCGAAAGCACTCCGAACTGAAGATAGATTTAACATATCATAAAAGCCTGTAATAAGCTCTGTCTGTAATAGAATAAAGATTTTTTGATTTGGTTTGATAAGAGTGTCAGAATAAGGATTTATTGTGTATTCTAACTTCATGTTAATAATCATACTTGAGTACTTTATAATTCTTCATATATTATTTTTAGTAAATGATTAATTACAATATATATTGTGGTGACTCAAGAGACATAAAAAATGAAGGAAATATGATTTATTAAGTTCATATTTCGGTGTCCTTTCCTTCGAATCTCGATGGGCCTATCTACGTAATTTATACAACATTCAAGTACGCGCATTGCGTGCATTCATTGTCGAATTTCGGCATGCGGTCGTATAAATACCGTACAGAAAGTCGTTGTTGTTAGATAACTCCGTAAACTCTTGTGTTGTACACAACTACTCAGATAAACAAACATGCAGACCATTGTAAGTTGCATATAGAGATTTTTAAAATCTTATTTATATTATAATTTAACTAAACAATTTATTTTTTAAATTCTATTTTTAAAATTCCTCTTCAGTAAAATCTTTTTGAGTGTATTCTAAATATAAAATTCTTAAATTTTTAAAAACTATTCCGATTTTGAATTAAGAATTACCGCCATAAAATGTTTTATTTTTAAATAGAAAATAAGTCAAAGGCCTAGATTTATAGGTCTATTAAAAAGTTTGTATTTGCATCATTAATAGTGCGCGTATTTCAATATTATGACGTCATAAATAGTGTATTCAGTTCTATGATATTGTAACATAATATAGGATCATAAGATTGCCGTTAGATTATAAATCTACGTTCCATTTAGATAATCAGAAGGAAATTGAGATATTTAGAATAATTGAAAAAACGTTGAGATCAAATAACTGACATCTAAAAAAAATAAGTTATTTATTCTATAAAATTTATTTCGATATATAATAAACATTGTAATTATTCCAGGTTGCTTTCGTCGCCATCTTGGCTTGCGCCGCAGCCGCCCCCGGTCTGCTGGTAGCTCATGAAACCCCAGTAGTGGCTGCAGTCCACGCCGCTCCAGTCGTGCACGCTGCCGTTCCACTCATCGGCTCCAAAACCACAATCACCAAGAGCAGTCAAGTGGTCAACCACGGAACTCCTCTTGTTCACGCTGCCCCAGTTCTTCACGCTGCTCCCGTTGTTCACGCTGCCCCGATCGTCCATGCTGCCCCGATCGTCCACGCTGCCCCAGTCGTCCACGCTGTGCACCCTGCCCCAATTGTTCATGCTGCCCCATTGGTAGTTAAGACTGCCCCAGTCGCCCTAGCCCATAGCAGCTCGGTCGTTCACCATACCCCCGTGCTCAAGGCATCTCTACTTGCTGTTCATTAAGTGGAAATGCTTATAATTAAGTTTTAAAATAAATTAAGTAACTATTGATATTTTTTTTTTATTTGTTGCAAGCTGACCTCGCGAACTCTTCAGGAATTTTATTTATTTATTTATATACTCTTTATTGCACCAGGAAAAATTACATTAATAGAGTAATTAAAATAAAAGGGTACAAAAGGCGGCCTTATCGCTTATGCAATCTCTTCCAGGCAACCTTTGGGTAGAGGAGAAAAAAACAAAAGGTGGGAGGTGGCACTAGAATAGGAGAGAAAAAAAAAACATAATAATAATAATGACAAATGAATAATAATGAATAACATAACATATTACATATATAAACAGTATACACCAATATTAATATTATATATATATATATATATAATATATATATACATACATACATACATACATACATACCAACATGCAATAAATAGATACAACACAACACAAAATAATGCAAGCAGCAAGTAACTGTGATACACGCATAGGAATAATACCTACTACTACTACTACTTTTTTTTCTTCGACTGGCAACACCGACGACAATTGTCATTTTCAGCTGGCCGTAATAATAAATAAATTTTAATTGTTTATCATACAAATATTATAATTTCAATATTGTTATTAGTGATCTAATAGTGTAATTAGTGTCGATTGTTGTTTGTGTACAGTTTAGTGGTGTATTACTTGCAAAAATCGACATTACAAATAGTGTACCGGCCATCTGTCAAACTGTTCGTGAACAACTAAGTTTTATTCAAAATTATTTTGCAATTGTTTCTTGGATTTATCCCAAGAAACTCATAATCATTGCAAGTTTTACATAAAATATTCATATTAAGTTAAATTAATAATAATTATAGTGAAGTTCGGTTGTTGCATACGTCGAAGGAAAAAAATACCCACTAATTTAATTGTAAGTCTTTTTATATTTTGTATTATTATAATTTAAAGGGAAAAAGCACAATTTATCTACATTTATTTCGTTATTCAGTTAAAACATTTATTTAGATTATCAATTTATCAAATATAACTTGTATATAATATACCTAGGAGAATTTATTCACAATTTTAACACTTAAACTGTATAGTAAGGTTCAGCTGCTGTTCTCGTTGTAATACTTAGCTTCTTTTAGAAATAGCTCACTTCACTCTCCCTAGTAACTATTTATATTCTTAATAATGTCACTATCTACCCGTTCCACAACTGCGCGGCAGACAGAGATGAAGCTTAAAGTGGCCCTACAAGAACTTCAGGCATCCAAAGATCTCAGTGACAAGTTGATCAGGGAGAGAGAAGAGAGTGAAGATGAAATTTTAAAAATTATAAATAAAAATAAACAATTAAAATCTGAATTGTCAGAACTTCATAATAGTCATCAGGAAGTTATTGAGCAGCGGGATCAGCTTCAAGAACTATTAAGTAGCTTTCACCAATGTAGTGATACACATGAGCAAGCCTTGAGGCGTATCACTGAGTTGGAGCTTGAGTTAAAGCAGGCATATCTTAAAATTAATGATCTTGACACAAAATTTGAATCTCAACAAAGTAATGAGATTAATAATTTATATGATGAGCTTATTAGTGTCGACTGTATGCCTCCTTCTACTTCAGTTCCATGCAGCCATCCAGTTGTGATTGACCTTACTAGTGACACATCACAGGGCAACTATAATAATAACATATGTATGTTGAGTCATAATAAATTAAAAAAATATTTAAAATTAAAAAAGTTTATAACTAAGACTCGGAGTATATTATATAAACGTTCCAAAAATGGTCAGTTGCTGAAAAAAACTAGTTTAAACAATTTAAAATTGCATGATTATATTAATAAGTATAATAATAAACTAGTGGAAAGCCAAAAGTTATATGACATGGATACAAGTTACCTAACTTCAAAAATAAAGAGTTTAGAATCATCGCTTCATGATTTAAATAACAAGTATACTATCTCACAAAAACAAATCCAGGAGCATATTTTGGCAATGGATGATTTGATTGATGTCAGTAAATACAATGCTGACCGTTTTGAGTCGTTAACTAAACATTGTACATGTGATCATTCAACTTTGCCAAATAATAATTCAGTTTCAACTGTGCAGATAAATGAAGTTCAGGGGATTTGTGTCAGTGACTATAATCCTAAAAGTAGCACAATGGTGTTTTCTGACAGAATAGGCTGTAATTTTGGGTCTATATTGAAGTATCATCTTAAGGGTGATGTATTAAATTACTGTATGCCAGGGGCATCATTTGCACAAATTATTAACAAAATTAAATCTACTAAAATAAATAAAATGACCACAGTTGTGTTATTTTTCGGCAATAGTATTAAATTAAATAGACAGGATATAATTAAAGGTATTCAATATTTGTTACAATTGAATGTATATAAGATTGTATTGTGCGCTCTTCCTTATACAAGTAGCCATTATCATAAAAAAATTAACAATAAGGTACATTACCTTAATAATTTATTGCATACATTGACATGTCGTCATAGTGACGTTTTTACATTTTTTGACACTAATAGTTTTATTAGTGATTTTTATTTGACAAAAGATACAATGTATCTTTCTAAATCTTCTAAGAATAAAATAGCCACTTTAGTGGCTTATAATATTGACTTCATGAACAGTTTACATGGTAAACTTCAATATAAAAATTGTGACATAACAAATGATTCTAGTAATTTTTGTTTAAATAGTGATATAAGTAATTTGACTGCAGATTTAAACTGCTAACAAAGACAAAGGGAAAGCAATTAGAATTGGTAATTGTTCATCAGAACATACAAAGTTTTCCCGGCAGTGAATTAATTATACAATTATTTTTGGAAAAATACAATATTGACATTATCTGTTTCACTGAACATTGGCTTAAAGAAAGCAATATGATGTTCAGTTTAAATAATTATAATGTTGTCAGCTGCTTCAATAGAAAGTCAGTTAACAGAGGTGGGTCTATGATAATTGCAAGAAATAATATTAAAGTAAAGGAACGTGCTGACATTGTTAGACTTTCTATTGAGTGTTGTACAGAAATCTCATGTATAGAACTAGATAATTATATACTTATATGTGTTTATAGGCCTCCTAATAGTGATTATAATGTATTTGAAGAGGTGATGGAGGATATATTAAAAAAAGTATTTAATAGCAGTAAAAAAATCATTGTGTGTGGTGATTTTAACGTTGATATTCTTTGTGATACACCCACATGTACAAAAATTATTAGTTTATTTCAGTCTTTTAATTTGAGTAATGTCTTTCAGGAACCCACTCGTGTAACCGCTACGACTGCTACTTGTCTTGACAATGTTTTTTGTAACTGTGAGTATATTGAAAAATTAATAATAAATAAACTTCCTTCGGATCACTGTGGTCAAGTTGTTAAGTTTAGTAATCAGACTAAAAAAAATACCAATAATAAAAGATCAAAAAGACAAATAAATGCTTACAATATTAATAAATACAAAAGCACGGTTAAATATAAATTAGACTTAGAGTTACAATCTGTCAGTCTTAATAATCCTGATATTCTTTACACCAAGTTAATTAGTCTTTTGTCAAAAGAATACCAGAATATTTTCAAGAAAAGAGAATATTGTGTTAAATCTAAATTTACAGAATGGGCAACAGTAGGAATACTTAAAAGTAGAAACATTTTATTTGATTTATATGATCAAAAAAAATATAGATTTGATGACAAATTTACAACTTATGTGAGAAATTACTCTAAAATTTTCAAACAAGTTTGTATTGCAGCTAAATCTAATTTTATAAATAAACAAATTAATCAGTCCTCTGACAAAATTAAGACCATCTGGGGAATTATAAACAAAGAAACTGGACGGTCTGAAAAAGCCTGCAATCAATTCTCATTAAATTGTGACAATAAGTTAATAACAGCAACAAAAGATATAGTTCATATTTTTCAAGATTTTTTTGCTAATATTCCAATTGATATTACATCTTCTCTAGACTCATCTCCAATTCGGGCAAAAACATTACTGGAGGCTAATGTCAGCCCTTGCTCTTTAACATTTAAATTTTCACATGTCAGCCCTTTTCATGTCATAAAAATATTCAAACAGTTAAATTTAAAAAATACGGAAGATCTCTGGGACATGTCAGTTAAAGTAGTTAGTTCATTCATAGATATTGTTGCTCCTTATCTAGCTACTATTTTCAATAAATGTGTTGATAATGGCGTGTTTCCTCAATTAATGAAATTTAGCAAATTAATTCCACTCTTTAAATCTGGAGATAGATTTGAGCTAGGCAACTATAGACCAATTTCTATTTTGCCAGTTCTAAGTAAAGTATTTGAAAAGATTATGTTTAACCAAATGTTAAAATACTTCAGGGATAACGGACTGCTTCACAGTCAGCAATATGGTTTCACTGCCGGCAAGTCTACTACTGATGCAGGTGTGGCGCTTATTACACATATATTCGAATCATGGGAAAAATCACAGGATGCTCTCGGCGTTTTTTGTGACTTGTCGAAGGCGTTTGATTGCGTAGATCATGAAACACTTTTGTACAAGCTCAAACACTATGGTATTAGAGATAATGACCTAAGTCTAATGAAAACTTATCTAGAGGATAGAGTGCAAACTGTAGATATTGATGGTGTAAAGTCTAAGGGAACTAATATAAAAATGGGCGTTCCTCAAGGTTCAATATTAGGCCCATTTCTCTTTTTAATTTATATAAATGACCTTCCCTACATGGTAGAGAAAGTTGCAGACATAGTGTTATTTGCGGATGATACTTCGTTAGTGTTTAAAATTGGTCGCCAATGTAATCAATTAGACGATGTAAATTATGCTATCTCTGCTATACTAAATTGGTTCACATGTAATAATCTATTATTGAACTCCAACAAAACTGTATCATTAACAAAATTTACTATTTCATCATTAAGCAATAGCTGCGTATTTACTTGTTTTACATTAGGCAGCGTGAATTTAATGCACTTAGTTTTGTTA